GGGATGGAATTCCAGGAGGAGACACCTCCATCCCCACAGGATGGAATTCCAGGAGGAGACACCTCCATTCCTCAGGGATGGAATTCCAGGAGGAGACACCTCCATCCCAGGGCTCCAGCTGCAGCCCAAGCCCAGCCCTTTTTCGGGGCACTCCCCCATCCCAGCAGCATTCCAGCATTCCCAGCCTCTGGCACAGCCCAGCCCTGAACGTGGATCCCCACGGACACGGGAACAGTGCCCAGGAACTGCAGCCAGACAGGCTCCAAATATCATCTCCAAATATCTCCAAATATCTCCAAATATCTCCAAATATCTCCAAATATCTCCAAATATCTCCAAATATCTCCAAATATCTCCAAATAACGCCCAGTCAGTGCAGGCCAGGAACCATCTTAGAGCAGCAGAGCTGAGCTCAGCCCAGGACTTTCCTGCTGGGATCAGCTGGGACACAGCCCCGGATTTGGGAGAAAGCAGGAGCTGCCCCAAGGGACTGAGCAAAGCCCAGGAGCAAATCCCGAGGTGCCAACATCCCCCAGGGGACAGGGGAGGAGCAGGGACAGCCACCAGAGCAGGGCATGGAATGGGTTGGGTTTAAATCCCACCCAGAGCNTGGGTTGGGTTTAAATCCCCCCCAGTGCCACCCCTGCCATGGCAGGGACACCTCCCACTGTCCCAGAATATCCAGCCTGGCCTTGGGCACTGCCAGGGATGGGAACTCACAGCTTTTCTGGGAATTCTGTGCCCACCCTCCAGGGGAAGACAAACCCACCCTCCAGGTGGATGTGGGGGCTCTGCAGCCCCTACAGGTGACCCCAAAAGGAGCTCAGCGCCCAGCGCTGCTCCCATGGGATCCTCCCTGCCTGTGCCAGGAGCTGCAAATCCAAATCCAAAAATCTGCTTCGAGCCAGCGCCAAGAAACCCCCCCCCAACTCACCCTCGCAGCGAGTCCTGGCCCCTTCTCCTCACTCTGCTCGGGGCTCTCTCCTCGTAGGCTGCGAATCTCTCAGGCTGCGAGTCCCCCTCGTATTGTCCCCGGGCCGGGGCCACGGCCAGCACAGCCCAGCAGCCCAGCAGGAGCCGGGCCAGCCACACATCGCCCATGTCCCCAAAGTCCCCCCGAGAGCTTTGTCCTTGCAGGCTCCGGGCTGCCCTGGCAGCACCGGGATGGATTTTTTTTGGCAGCAGCAGCTCCCGCGCCGGTGCCGAGGAGCCGTCGTGGGGTTGCGTTTCTGGAAGGAAAAAGAAAGGGGGGGAAAAAGGGAGATTTTGAAGGGTTTTTTTGGTGTTTTTTTTTTTTTTGGAGGTGTTGGTAAGCCCAGGCTGGACCCACCCAGCTCCCGGTGTCACTGAATTGCCAAAACTTTCTTTCCCAAGAGCTGGAGAATCAGGAGATGGGCAAGAGTTGCCTCACATTTCTTTTCCCGGTGGAGAAACAAAGAGCAACCAAAGCCCTCCAGAAAAGAGGAGAAGGTGAGGAAAGAGCAGCTCCTGCTCATGGACCATCCTCCCACAGCTCTGCTATTCCAGGAGTAGAGAAACTGGAAAACTGGAAAAACTTCCCAGCTCCTCCATGGCTCAGGGGAGCCTGGCCTGGCGTGGGGACAGCCCCTGGCATGGCACTGACCCCCCCAGGGTGGTCTCGGGGGGCTGGGATGGGAGGGGAAGGAATGAGAAATCCCCAAAGGAAAAGCTCCAAAAATGATCGCCAGGGCCAGCATTCCCAAATTCCCCCAGTTCTGCATGGGGAGCCCCATCCTTCCTCCTCCTTCCTCCTCCTCCTCCTCTTCCCGGCTCGGGGTGCAGCTCTCACCTCGAGAACCCCAAAATTTGGAGTTCCAGGAATAAAAAAAAAAAAAAAAATCCTCCTGGATGTGTCCCGGGGTGGGAACAATCTGAGCTGCGAGAGGCCCCGGGTGGGGAAGGAGAGGCCCCCGAGCCACCCCTGACTGTCCCCCCTGCTCTCCCACTGCAGCTTTTCCCGGCCAGCCCAGCCTCGAAAATCAGCCCAGACAGGGCAGAAAATGTGTCTGAATTAAAAAAA